GTTACATTAGTTTCAGCTCTACAGCGTAGTGATCCGATAACTCTGTACCTTATGCTCACCACAAGTGTGGCTACCATCTGTCACCATACAAGGCTATCACAGTGCCGTTGACTATATTCCCTATGCCGTGCCTTTCATCCTTGTGACTTATTCCATAACTGGAAGCCTGTGCCATCCACTCCCCTTCACCCATCCCCCTACCCCACCTCTCTGGCAACCATTAGTTCTTTGTATTTATTTATCTGTTTCTACTTTTGTTTGTTCATTTATTTTGTGTGTTTTTTTTCAATTCCGTATATTAGGGAAATCCTATGATATTTGTCTTTGCCTGACTTCACTTAGCATAATACCCTCTAGGTCCATCCATGTTGCCGTGAATGGCAAGATTTCATTCTCTTTTATGGCTGAGTAATATTCCATTGGAGATATATACACCACTTCTTTATCTGTCCGTCTGTTGCTGGATACCTGGGTTGCTTCCATGTCTTGGCTATTGTAAACGATGCTGCAATAGACATAGGGGTGCACATATCTTTTCCAATTAGTGTTTTGTTTTCTTTGGGTAAATATCCAGTAGTGGGTTTACTGATTGTTCAGTATTTCTATTTTTAATTTTTTGAGGAACCTCCATACTGTTTTCCACAAAGGCTATGCCAATTTGCATTCCCACCAACAGTGCATGGTGGTTCCTTTTTCTCCACATCCTCATCAACACTTATTATTTCTTGTCTTTTTGATTCTAGCCATTCTGACTGGTGTGAGGTGGTATCTCATAGTTTTGATTTGCATTTACCTAATGATGAATGATGTTGAGATTCTTTTCATGTGTTTGTTGGCTATCTGTATAGAGATGACTTTTTGTATCAGTATCCTAAGTGCTTAAACACAGTACCCGTGTATAGTGGGTACTTAAGGATAATTAATGATTTAGTAAATGTTTTGATAAATGAATGAGTGCTCCATCACACGTAAGAAACTTAGTATAGTGAGAGATGCTTTAGAGATGAGAATTTGAGCATACATAGTTTTCCTTTTTTACAGTTCACTGTTGATCAGAAAGGAACTTTTAGGGGTGCCTGGGTGGCTCAGTCATTCAAGCAGCTGACTCTTGGTTTCAGCTCAGGTCATGATGTCGAGGCCGTGGGATTAAGCCCTGTGTCGGGCTCTGTCCTTGGTGTGCAGTCTGCTTCAGATTCTCTTTCCCTTTCCCTCCCCGTCTACCCCTCCCTCTGCTTGCACACATGAGCGCTCTCTCTCAAATAAGAAAGGAACTTCTTATGTTTTAGAATCCCTTCCTTAAATGTTTATTCTTATTGTTAATATGCAAGAATAGTAATCTAAGAAAAGGCACGTTAGAGAAAAACTAGTGATAAGTAAGACAAACATTTTCTGATGTCCTAGAGGAGGTTCATGTTAATGTAAGTTGGTTCTGTCTGTTGGTCATTTGTACATCTTCTTTGGAGAGATGTTTGTTCGTTTCTTCTGTCCATTTCCTGATTGGATTATTTGTTTTTTGGATGTTGAGTTCAATAAGTTCTTTGTAGATTTTGGTTACTAGTCCTTTATCTGATATGTCATTTGCAAATATCTTCTCCCATTCGGTAGGTTGTCTTTTGGTTTTCTCGACTGTTCCCTTTGCTGTGCAAAAGCTTTTTATCTTGATGAAATCCCAATGGTTCATCTTTGCTTTTGTTTCCCTTGCCATTGAAGACCTGTCTAGCAAGAAGTTGCTATGGCCAAGGTCAAAGAGGTTGCTGCCTGTGTTCTCCTGTTCTCCTCTAGGATTTTGATGGATTCTTATCTCACATTTAGGTCTTTCATCCATTTTGAGTCTATTTTTGTGTATGGTGTAAAGAGTGGTCCAGTTTCATTCTTCTGCATGTGGCTGTCCAATTTTCCCAACACCATTTGTTGAAGAGACTGTCTTTTTTCCATTGGATATTCTTTCCTGCTTTGTCAAAGATTAGTTGACCATAGGGCGCCTGGGTGGCTCAGTCGTTAAGTGTCTGCCTTCAGCTCAGGTCATGATCCCAGGATCCTGGGATCAAGTTCCACATCGGGCTCCCTGCTTGGCGGGAAGCCTGCTTCTCCCTCTCCCACTCCCCCTGCTTGTGTTCCTGCTCTCGCTATCTCTCTGGCAAATAAATAAATAAAATCTTTAAAAAAAAAAAATTAGTTGACCATAGAGTTGAGGGTCCATTTCTTGGTTCTCTATTCTGTTTCATTGATCTACATGTCTATTTTTGTCCCAATACCATACTGTCTTGTTACTACAGCTCTGTAATAGAGCTTGAAATCCAGAATTGTGATGCCACCAGCTTTGGTTTTCTTTTTCAACATTCCTTTGGCTAGTCAGGTCTTTTCTGGTTCCATACAAATTTTAGAATTATTTGTTCCAGCTCTTTGAAAAATGTTGATGATATTTTGATAGGGATTGCATTGGATGTGTAGATTGCTTTGGGTATCATAGACATTTTAACAATATTCTTAAAATGCTTAACATCACTTCGCATCAGGGAAATACAAATCAAAACCACAGTGAGATACCACCTCACACCAGTCAGAATGGCTAAAATTAACAAAGTCAGGACACAACTTTGTTTCGTCCTCTGTGAGGATGCAGAGAAAGGGGGACTCTCTTACACTGCTTGTGGTAATGCAAACTTGTACAGCCACTCTGGACAACAGTATGGAGGTTTGCCAAAGAGTTAAAAATAGAACTACCCAGGGCGCCTGGGTGGCTCAGTTGGTTAAGCGTCTGCCTTCGGCTCAGGTCATGGTCCCGGAATCCTGGGATCGAGTCCCACATCGGACTCCCGGCTCAGCGGGGAGCCTGCTTCTCCCTCTGACCCCCTCCCCTCTCATGCTGTTTCTCTCTCTCTTTCTCTCTCTCTCAAATAAATAAATAAAATCTTATAAAAAACAAAACAGAACTACCCTACGACCCAGCAACTGTACTACTAGGCATTTACCCAAAGGATACAAACAGCGATCCAGAGGGGCACCTGCACCCCAGTGTTTATAGCAGCAATGTCCACAATAGCCAAAACATGGAAAGAGCCCAGATGTCCTTCAACAGATGAATGGGTGAAGAAGATGTGGTATGTATACACAATGGAATATTACTCAGCCATCAAAAAATATGATACTTTAGCATTTGCAATGACATGGATAAAACTAGAGGGTATTATGCTAAGTGAAATCAGTTAGAGATAGTTATGATGATCTCACTCATATATGGAATTTAAGAAACAAAACAGAGGATCTTAAGGGAAGGGAGGGAAAACTGAATGTGAAGTCATCAGAGAGGGAGACAAACCAGAAGAGACTCTTAACTATAGGAAACAAACTGAGGGTTGCTGGAGGGGAGGTAGGTGGAGGGATGGGGTAACTGAATGATGGGCATTAAGGAGGGCACATGATATAATGAGCACTGAGTGTTATATAAGACTGATGAATCGCTGGGGCGCCTGGGTGGCTCAGTCGTTAAGCGTCTGCCTTCGGCTCAGGTCATGATCCCAGGGTCCTGGGATCGAGCCCCGCATCGGGCTCCCTGCTCGGCGGGAAGCCTGCTTCTCCCGCTTCCACTCCTCCTGCTTGTGTTCCCTCTCTCGCTGTGTCTCTCTCTGTCAAATAGATAAATAAAATTTAAAAAATAAAACAAAAACAAAAAAATAAAGCAAATGGGTTGAACTAGTTAATGTCTAAGACTACTCCCACCTCTCAAACTATGTTTTTATATCTCTGTGACTGCCAAACACCAGCGTACAAATACAAATAAAACTCATTTCTTGTCCATTAGCTATTTTAACCTTTGACCATGGATAATTTTTAAAAAAATCTTATTTCACTTTTGCTTTTTTTTGAGTAATAACTATATATGTGTGTGCTTGTGTGTTTGCACATATGTATATATTCGTGTGTGTGTATATAGGCTAGGTGCAGTTTATATATTGTGAATTGTTTATAACCTTTGCCCATATTTCTATTATTGTGTTTTAAAAACAATTTGTGAAAGATTTTTTTATATATTAAGTATTCTAGTTCTTCGTTATAAATATTATAAGTATTTTCTCAGTTTGCCATTTGTCTTCCTAAAGGCCTTTCTCATCCTACAATTGAACAAATATTTATTTGTATTTTTTCTAGTACTTTTATGGTTTCATTTTTTTCCTCAAAAAACCTTCTAATCCATCGAGAATTTGCTCTTGTGTACAGCATGAGATAGGAATCTGGCTTTAGCCAGTTTTTCAGTATTTTATATCTTCCAGTGTGTTTCTTCTTTTTCCCTACAGCTGAGGAGTGACTTAGTCTTCATTTCTGGATTAAAAAGTAATAGTTTCTTTGCATTGTGAATAGGGGAAATCATACAGTGTGGAGAAAAAGCATGTTGCCCTTTAAAGAAGTGGTCATATCTTTGTATGTTACAAATTAGGGTAGTCAGTATGTGGGTCAACAAATATTCTCAGGTCTCTACCTGTTAGATACATGGTACAATTGTATTTCCTGATCATTCTGGCTGGCTGAGGCCATATGACTGCTCTGACAAATTGTGAGTGGACATGATGTGTGTGAATTTTGGGCCAGAGCATTTAATTGCTGGTGTGAGACTTACCAGAACTCTTTCATATTGGATGGTGGCTGCCCCTTCAATCTGGATCCTTGAATGACTATGATGAGAAAAGCTCTCCTGTCCTCCTCTACCAGACATAGACTGTGACCAATAAATACACCTTTCTTGGTATAAGCCACTAATATTTGGAGGTTATTTGTGTCTGAAGCTTAACTTAGTCTATCTAGACTTACATACTCTCTTTCAGTATTTCAATTTGATTTCTTTGTCATCAGCTGAACCCATACTAGAGGGTTTTCTAAGGAGAAGGTATTCTTTCATGTACAGTGATTGACACGAAGGAAAAATAAGGCACTTTTAGAAAAAAATAAATGAAATAATTACTTCTTATTTAATTTGGGAGTAACTGTTTTGTTTTTTTATTCAGGTAATTTGCAGCTCTCATAATGTTTGCCAAAGCAACAAGGAATTTTCTTAAAGAAGTTGATGCCGGAGGTAACCTGATTGCAGTATCAAACTTGAATGACTCTGATAAGTTACAACTTCTAAGTCTGGTGACCAAAAAAAAGAGATTCTGGTGCTGGCAGAGACCCAAGTACCAGTTTTTATCTGTCACCCTTGGAGATGTACTCACAGAAGACCAATTTCTGAGTCCAGGTAGGTTTCTTTGGGTATAGTCTACAGTTAGTCCCAGAAAAGATGATTCATCTTCTAGGTACATGCTGTCTTGAGTGATTGATTATAAGGTGAGACCTTACCATGAATTCTGTTTCTTTGCACATTCTCTTAAAGACATATCCTTTCTTTTTTTGTTGTTGTTAAGATTTTATTTATTTTGGTGGGGGGGGAGAGGCAGAGAGAGAATCTCAAGCAGACTCCCTGCTGAGCATGGTGCCCGAGTGAGGCTCGATTCCACAGTCCTGAAATCATGACCTGACCTGAAATCAAGAGTCCAGCGCTGAGCCACACAGGTGCCTCAAGGCATATACTTTTCTTAAATGAACAGAATTCTACAGGCCCGACATGAGAAGTTATAGCTTAATTTAAAAAAATAATATTGCAGTTTTGAGTACAAAAGTAAGACATGCCCATTGTAAGTGTTGTGGCCACTCAGCATATAGGTAGGATGGATCTACCACCCAAAATCTGGTTTAGTGTTGCGGTTGATGATGCCACCTAGCCATCAGGAGGGTGTGAAAAGTTTTATTACTCACATAAGAAAGCTTTCTGGGGAGAGCAGGGCAGGCTCTCAAGCTGGTCCAAAAATAGCTAGAGTTTTCTCTAGGTAAAGAAATAAAATTTCTATCTGTGTAGCACTTTGTACAACCTAGGACTGTTGCTTTTATCAGAAAATGACATTGTTCTGGCCTAAGCCCAGTGGATAGAGTGAGCACTTGCTATGTGCCTGGCTCTGTGTTATGTGATTTACATACATCAGCTTGTAACATAATACATCAGGAAGGTATTCTCTCCAGATTACATCTGAGAAAACTGAGGTTCAGGGAGATGGATGTTAACAAGTTCTTATAGGTAGGAATATTAGAATAGTGATTAAAATCTTGAGCTCTTAAGAAGTGCTCTATGCTACTTCCCAAAACATTTCCAAAGTGTTTGTATTCCACAAGATATAAATAGGAAAAGGCTTTGAATTGAGGGCATTTTCACAGTTGTCTCATTTTTGGTGGTGGTGACAGAGATGATTCTCTATTTTGTAAATTGCAAAGATAGTGATTAATGATTAATTCTCATTAACCCTTGCTGAGGAATGGTTTTCTTGACTGAAGTGAAGGAAATACAGGTGTTGAGGGCAGTGAGTGGATGGAAAGAAGCCTTTCAGACTATAGGCAGATTTGAATCCCTTAGAAGTACAACCAGGAGCTCAGGAGAGCCTTGGGTCAGGGAAATGGAAAAAGCCCAGTGTGAAGTTCCTAAGAGGCCCTAAATGTAGCTATATCAAAAGACAGTGACTGACACTATTTTTATGGTGGTATTTGGTTGGATTAAAAATAAGAACAGTAGAAATCTGGAGATAAGAGAAGGCTGGCAATTCAGAAATGAGATCATCAGGTATTTATCTTCAGTGTCCAGATAAGAAGGACAGATCTTGAAGGCAATGTGATAGTCCCCTGGATGTGAGCAGATGAGGAACGTAGTAATTCCCAGAGGACTTGATTGAAGCTGGGATACCTGGTAGGGGGTGGCATCTTCCTAAGTCTGGGAAGCCAGAAAGTAAGGATGGGGAGTCTGGAGCTTGTGTATCCCAGGATGGTGTTTGAGAGGGAGGGAGGGAGGGAGGCCAGGCATGCCCACTGACTTTATCAGGAGTAGAGATAAGGTATTGTATGATAAGGAATTAAATGGCCAGGTAGAGGTCAATATACACAGGTGAGCATGGGGTGCCTGGGTGGCTCAGTCAGTGAAACATCAGACTCTTGATTTCAGCTCAGGTCAGGATCTCAGGGTGGTGAGATCCAGCCCCATGTTGAGCCCTGTGCTGGGGATGGAGCCTGCTTAAGATTCTCTCTCCCTCTGCATCTCCCTCCCTCCACCCACGCGCTCTCTCTAAAAAAAAAATTAAAAATTAAAAAAAAATAATAAACAGGTAAGTACGGGAAAGGAAATTTTTTCATAGAGATGGTAATGAAGGCCAAAGGAATGTTCTCCAAGACTGGTGGGTGGGAAGGGAAGATGCCCAAGCTCCACGTGGCTGACCTGCCAGATACGGGGTAAGGCAGACCACTCGGACGTGGGTCATGAGCAGAGCTGCTATTTTCACTCTGCTTAGGTGTCATCCTCATGAAGTCCCTTTACAGTCTTCACCCTGGAAAAGCACACATTGAAAATATTCTATTTAAAAAAATTTTAAAAATGTATTTTATCTGGATAGTGGTTAAACAGATGCTTGCTTTAAAGTTTATTTACTTATTTATTTTTAAGTAATCTCTACACCCAATGTGGGGCTAAAACTCACAACCCTGAGATCAAGAGTTGTGTGCTCTTCCGACTGAGCCTGCCATGGGCCCCAGGAGGCTTTCTTTAAAATTATTTGTTAAACTCTCCTGATACTTTTGGTGCACCTGTCTACATATGTATATATTGGAATTGAAAGACAACCAAGAGCACCAAGTAGAGCCCCTGGCCACAAGTCCCACCATGCTCTCAGTCAGTACCTCAGTGGGCCAGCTCCATTTTCTTTAGAACATACACAGAACATGGCTGCCGGCTCTCCATTTTGAGTGCGAACTTCATGTTTCCTGTGGATTTCCACAGGATTGGGAAGGTAGGTGGCCTAAGGCAGCTAGGTGGCCATATCGTCATCAGATGCCTTTGCAAGTCTCATTCCCTCCAGTGGTCGTGGAGTCAGACTTTGTGAAATATGAGAGCAAGTTTCAAAACCATGTGAGTGGGACCATCGAGACGGCGCTAGGGAAGGTCAAGATGAATGTTGGAGGCAAAGGACTGGTGGAAAGTCAGTCTTCTTTTGGAAACCTGAGGAAGCAGGAGGTGGACCTGCAGCAGCTCATCAGAGACTCCACTGAGAGGTAATGAGAATTCTGTTTGGCATTTTGGATTTTGGCATGTATCACCTTTAAAGGTCATTCAGTTGGACCTTTGTAAAAAGGGCAACAGATGGGAACTTTGCCCAAAAGCAAACATGATTGAATGTTGTGCTGAAACTTTATAGAGCTCGTACTTTAGCCTGGAATTTCTTGATTGTTCTTAGCTTGAGTGGGGAGACGTATTATTATTATTATTTTTTGATTGAGGTGTAATTGACATATAACATTGTATTAGTTTCCAGGTGCACAATATAATGATTTGTTATTTGTCCCTATTGCAAGGTGATCACCACAGTAAGTTTAGTTAGCATCTATCACTATACATAGTTGCAAATATATTTTTTCTTGCGATGAGAACTTTTAAAATTTATTCTCTCGGCAACTTTCAAACATGCAATACAGTATTATTAACTATAGTCAGTGTACTGTACATTACATCTCTAGGACTTATTTCATAATGGGAAGTTTGTACCTTTTGGTCTTTACCCATTTCATGTACCCCTACCCTCCACTCTGGCAACCACTAATCTGGTCTTTGAATCCATGAGCTTGTTTGTTTGTTTTGATTCCATATATAAATGAGATTGGGCTCTTTCTTCCTCTGTGTGACTTATTTCACTTAGCATAATCCCCTCAAGCTCCATCCACATTGTCCCAAAATGGCAAGATTTCCTTCTTTTATGTGACTGAATAATATTCCATTGTATATGCATTAAATTAGGTTCCTGACCCAATTCCAGCAGTGTCTGAGAATTCAACTCCCTGATGATACTGTCTACCTAAAGATAGTATCAGATTCACAGGGTAAGGGCTCAGTCCTAAAAAGACTGTCCTCAGCCCTTACTCTGAGTCAGATGCCAGCAGCAAGCCCAGGCTATTCCTTGTGCTTCTGACTATGGGGGCCACAGATTGGAGGTTCCCACGACTCCCTCCTTGGATTTCAGATGCCCTTCACAAGTCCAGGTTGTTAACTATACTTCTGACCAACTGACTAAAAATCAGATTCCCGTGATCCCCTCCCTGAGTTCAATTAATTTGAAATATGAAACGTTTTACATAGTAGAATCACTGTTTTATTATAAAAGGGTATAACTCAGGAACAGCCAGGTGGAGGAGATGGGGCAGGGTATGGGCCTCCTGCTTTCTCCAGGTCACCACTCTTTCCAAATCTTCATGTGTTCACAGATCCAGAAGCTCTCTGAATCCTGTCTTTTTGGGTTTTTATGGAGGCTTTATCACATAGTCACAATTGATTAAATCATCATGGACCATTGGTGATTGATTCAACCTCCAGCCCCTCTCCCTTCCCTAGAGGTTGGGGTGGAAGTACTGAAAGTTAAAACCTTCTAATTACCTGGTTGGCTCCCGGAACAACAGCCCCCATCTTTGGGTTACCTAAGGGCTTTCCAAAAGTCACCTCATTAACATAACAAAAGACACCTTTATTGCTCTTATCACAGGAAATTCCAAGGGTTAGAAGTTCCATGCCAAGAACTGGGTTGAAGACCAAATATATATTTCTTACTATAAGTCACAATATAACATATATATGCCATATTTCTTTATCCATTCATCTATCCATGGACACTTAGATTGTTTCTATATTTTGGTTATTCTAAATAATGCTGCAGTGAACATGGGTGTGCAAATCTTTTTGAGTAAATGTTTAAATACTTTGCATAAATACCCAGAAATGAAATTTCTGGATCATATGGTAGTTCTATTTTAATTTTTTGAGGAACCTTTATACTGTTTTCCTTGGTGGTTGCACCAATTTATAATTCCACCAACAGAGCCAAGGGTTCCCATTTTTCCACATCCCCTCCAATTCTTATTACTTTCTTGTCTTTTTGATACTAGCTATTCTAACAGGTGGGAGGTGATATCTCATTGTGGTTTTGATTTGTATTTCCTTGATGATGAGTGATACCAAGCATCTTTTCATGTAGCCATTGGCTATCTGTATGTCTTCCTTGGAAAAATGTCTATTCAGATCTAACCACTTTAAAAATTGATTTCTTTTTTCTATTGTAGGAGTTCTTTATATATTTTATATATTAACTCTGTATTAAATATATGATTTGCAAATATTTTTTCCCATCCAGTAGGTTGCCTTTTCATTTTGTTGATGGTTTCCTTTGTTGTGCAGAAGTGTTTTAGTTTGATGTAGTCCCATTTGCTATTTTTGCTTTTGTTGCTTTTGCTTTTGGTGTCAGATTCAAAAAATCATTGCCAAGGCTGATGTCTAAGTACTTACCACCCATGCTTTCTTCTAGAAGTTTTATGGTTTCAGGTGTAACATTAAAGTCTTTAATCCACTCGGAGTTAATTTTTGTGGATGGTGTAAGATGGTGGCCCAGTTTCATTCTTTTGCATGTGGCTATCCAGTTTTTCTAATACCATTTATTGAAGAGACTGTCCTTTCCCCATTTTATATTCTTGACTCCTTTGTCATTAATTAAATGACCGTATGTGCACGGTTTTATTTCTGGACTCTGTATTCTGTTCCATTGATCTATATGTCTGTTTTTATGTCCAAATCTTACTGTTCTGATTAGTGTAGTTTTGTAATATAGTTTGAAATAAGACAGTGTGATGCCTCCGGCTTTGTTCTTCTTTCTCAAGATTGCTTTGGCTACTCAGGGATTTTTGTGGTTCCATTTAAATTTTAGAATTTTTAGAGTTTTTCCTTTCTGTGAAAAATGCATTGGAATTTTTTTTAAAAGATTTTATTTAGGGGCGCCTGGGTGGCTCAGTCAGTTAAGTGGCTGCCTTTGGCTCAGGTCATGATCCCAGGGTCCTGGGATCGAGCCCCGCATTGGGCTCCCAGCTCTGCGGGAAGCCTGCTTCTCCCTCTCCCACTCCCCCTGCTTGTGTTCCCTCTCTCGCTGTCTCTCTCTCTGTCAAATAAATCAATAAAATCTTTAAAAAAATATATTTATTTTATAGAGAGATTGAGAGACAGAGACAAAACATGAGCAGAGGGGAGGAGACAGAGGGAGAGGGAGAAGCAGATTCCCTGCTGAGCAGGAAGCCCAACACGGGACTCGATCCCAGGACCCTGGGATCATGACCTGAGCTGAAGGCAGATGCTTAACTGACTGAGCTACCCAGGAGTCCCAATGCATTCGAATTTTAATGGGAATTACATTCAGTCTGTAGATTGTTTTGGATAGTAGGGACATTTTAGTGATACTCTAATCCATGAGCATGGAATATCTTATTATTTATTTATTTTTCAATTTATTTTTATCAGGGTCATACAGTTTTCAGTGTACAGAATATTCATCTCTTTGGTTAAGTTTATTATTAGGTATTTTATTCTTTTTGATGCAGTTATAAATGAAATTATTTTCTTAATTTCTCTTTTTGAATGTTCATATCAGTGTATAGAAATTCAACAGATTTTTGCATATTGATTTTGTATCCTGGAACTTTATGGAATTTCTTTATTAGTTCCAACAGTTTTTTGGTGGGGTTTTTAGGATTTTCTATTTGTAATGTCATGTCATATGCAAATAATGATAGTTTTACTTTTTCCTTTCCTGTGTGGTTGCATTTTATTTCTTTTTCTTGCCTAATTACTCTGGCTAGGGTTTCCAGTATTATGTTGAATAAAGTAGAGAGTGAGCATCCTTGTCTTGTCCTAATCTTAGAGATAAGGCTTTTGGATTTTTTAAAAAAAGATTTTATTTATTTATTTGATAGAGAGAGAGAGTGAGAGAGGGAACACAAGCAGGGGGAGTGGGAGAGGGAGAAGCAGGCTTCCCACTGAGCAGGGAGCCCGATGCAGGGCTTGATCCCAGGACCCTGGGATCATGACCTGAGCCAAAGGCAGATGCTTAACAACTGAGCCACCCAGGCGCCCCAGGCTTTTGGATTTTTCACTGTTGAGTATGATGTTAGTTGTGAACTTATCATATATGGCCTTATTATATTGAGGTATGTTCCCTCTATACCTACTTTGTTGAGAGGTTTTATCATAAAGGGGTGTTGAATTTTGTAAACAGTTTTTTTTATTGAGATGATCATATGGCTGTTATGTTTCATTTTGTTAAGGTGGTGTATCACATTGATTGGTTCATGGATATTGAACCATCCTTGCATCCCTGGAGTAAATCTGACTTGATCATTATGTATGATCCTTTTAATGTGGTGTTTTCTTCAGTTTGCTAATATTGTGTTGAGAATTTATGCATCTATGTCCATCATGGATATTGGCCTGTAATTTTCTTTCTTTTTTTAAATTTAAATTTTAAATTGACATGCAACATAGTATTAGTTTTGAGTGTACAACATAATGATTCAATATTTGTATATATTGTGAAATGATCACCACAATAAGTCTTGTGTTAACATCTGTTACCCAACTGGCCTATAATTTTCTTTTCTTTTTTTTTTTAAGATTTTATTTATTTATTTGAGTGAGACAGAGAGAGAGCACAAGCAGGGGGAGCAGCAGGCAGAGGGAGAGAGAGAAGCAGGCTCCCCAGGGAGCCTGTTGTGGGGTTTGATCCCAGGACCCTAGGATTATGACCTGAGCCAAAGGCAGATGCTTAACCAACTGAACCACCCAGGTGCCCCATAATTTTCTTTTCTGTGATGTTCTTGTCTAGTTTCAGTATCAGGGTAACGCTGGCATTATAAAATGAGTTTGGAAGTGTTCTCTCCTTTTTTGTTTTTTGGAAGAGTGAAAAGGATTGCTGTTCTTTAAATGTTTGGTAGAATTCACCAGTGATGTCTGGTTCTGGACTTTTGTTTGTTGGGAGATTTTGATTACTAATTCAATCTCCTTATTAGTAATTGGACTGTTCAGATTTTTTATTTCTTCTGATTTATTCTTGGTAGGTTGTATGTTTCTAGGCATTTATCGTTTTCTTTTAGGTTGTCCAATTTGTTGGTGTATAATTGTTCATTGTAGTCTCTTATGATCCTTTGTATTTCTGTGGTATCAATTTTAATATGTCTCCTCTTTCATTTCTGATTTTATTTATTTGAATCCTCTCTTCTTGGTGAGTCTAGCTAAAAGTTTGTCAATTTTGTCTGTCATTCCAAAGAACCAGCTGTTAGTTTCATCAATCTTTTCTTTTGTCTTGTTAATCTCTATTTCATTTATTTCTGTTTTTGTCCTTGTTTTTTCCTTCTATTATTTTTGGGCTTTGTTCTTTTTGTAACTCCTGGAGTTATAATGTTAGGTTGTTTATTTGAGATCTTTCTTGTTTCTTTAGGTGTAGGCATTTATTGCTATGTACTTCCTTCTTGGAGCAACTTTTGCTGCATCCCATTAGTTTTGGTGTGTTATATTTCTATTTTCATTTGTCTCAAGGTATTTTCTTTTTTATTAATCTTTTGATTCTTTTTTGACCCATTGGTTGTTCCATAGCATGTGGTTTAATCTCCACATCTTTGTGAATTTTTCAGTTTTCTTCTGGTAATTGATTTTAGTTTCATACCATTGTGGTCAGAAAAGATTCTTGATAAGATTTCAGTCTTCTTAAATTTATTAAGAATTGTTTTGTGGCCTAACATAATAGTCTATCCTGGAGAATGTTCCATATGCACATGAGAGGAATGTGTATTCTGCTTTTGGATAGAATGTTCTGTATATATGTTAAGTCCACCTGGTCTAACATGTCATTAAGGCTGATATTTCCTTCTTGATAACCTATCTGAGATGATCTATTCATTGATGAAAGTGGGATATTAAAGTCCCATACTATTATTGTATTGCTGTCTATTTCTTTCTTTAGGTCTGTTAATATTTGCTTTATGTACTTAGGTGCTCCTATGTTAGGTACATAAACATTTACAAATGTTATATTCTCTTATTAGGTTGACCCCTTTAACATCAAATAATGCTCTTCTTTGTCATTTATTTATTTATTTATTTATTTTTTAAAGATTTTATTTATTTATTTGACAGAGACACAGCAAGAGAGGGAACACAAGCAGAGGGAGTGGGAGAGGGAGAAGGAGCAAGAAGCCCGATGCGGGGCTTGATCCCAGGACCCTGGGACCATGACCTGAGCCGAAGGCAGACGCTTGATGACTGAGCCACCCAGGCGCCCCTCTTCTTTGTTTTTTATTACAGTCTTTGTTTTAAAGTCTTTTTTGTCTGCTATAAGTATAGCTAGCCTAGCTTTCTTTTGGTTTCCATTTACGTGCAATATCTTTTTCCAGCCCTTCACTGTCAGTTTGTGTGTCTTTATATCTTAAGTGAATCTCTTGTAGGCAGCATATAGATGGGTCTCGAGTGTTTTTTTGTCTTTAATCCATTCAGCCACTCTTTGCATTTTTATTGGAAAATTTAGTCCATTTACATTTAAGGGAAGCGCTCTAAAAGGATGTTACTTCAGGCAAATATGTACTTTTTTTTTTTTAAATATGCTATTTATAAAATGCCAACAGGGAGAATGCTATGTCCTACATTTTTGAATATTGATATCAGAAGCAAGAAAATGACATTCCCCTCTGGCTCCTGCTAGCTTTCTGATTAGGAAAAGAAGAAAGCAAATTAGGGGCTTTAGCAGAAGAGCTGGTTTTCAACTTCAAAATCTTGAAGAAAACCCCATAGTTATTCATTGCTTAGCTTGTAGTAAATACATTTTACCTGGTGTAACTCATTATTTTTACCTTCTGTTTATTGAACATTCAATAAAAATGTTGTTGAGTGCCTATATGTGCCATGTACCATTCCGCATGCTTGGGATCCTGCAGTGAACAAAATGCCAACATTTCTGCTGTACATTCTAGTGGGGAGAGACACAAAATGTACAACTAGGAATGGGGTTTATGGTTTGAAAAAAGTGGCCAGAGAAGGCATTGCAGGGAAGTTGGCATCAGTGCAAAGATTTGAAGGAGGACAGATTCAAGTATAGGGGTATCCTGGGCAAGAGCGTTGTGGGCAGGGGTCAGTGTGGCTGGAGTAAGTAAGCTGGGCAGGAGAAGGGGAGGCCTGAGGGGGTAAAAGGAGTGGATGGCAGGTCCTACAGGGACTTGCAGGCCGCTGTAAAGGCTTTAGCTTTTATTCAGAGTGAGATGGGAAGTGGCATGTGGGACTTATTTTTTAGAGGGATCATTCTGGCTGCTGGTTTGAGAGGAAACTGGATAAGTGGAAGCAGGGAGTCAGTTGAGTGGTGATTGCAATCATCCTCGTGAGAGCTGATGTTTCAGTTTGTACATTAACATATGTGTGTTTTCCTGTGTAGTTTTATCACCCTTTTTCTTTCTTTCATCCTTTTTTTTTACTCTTTTTCTTTTAAAACAGAAAATGCAACTGCAAATAAAGAGAAAACTCACTTGCATTTAGGTATAGGTGGTTTATTTTCACTTTTCCAAAATTCTTAAGATTATATGAAATATAAAATACATTCACTCATTGAACAAAATTCTGTTTAAAAAATTAATGAGTAAATACTACCATAAAAGTCATGTATCAAGCATTTAGTGGGTGTCTTTTTGTATAGACCTTGAGAACGCTGAGGCAACTGCAGTCTTCAAAACTCATTCACTAACCGCTGGTGCTAAATGGACTTGAAAGACCTTGGCCATTATTCACTGCCTCCCGGTACTTCATAGGACTCCAAGACTCTGGCAGGAATCCCCTTTTGGTCAGAGAACTTTAAGCTCTCTCTGGTGACATCGGGTGGAAGGGACAGCCACCTCTTTCTGTGACAGTCATAGTCTTTATTTTCCTTTCTCTGTGGCTTTTTTTCTTTGCTGGGGAGGCATTTTCCTTTTCTATTACAATATTTGGGACTCACCAGAAACATCTCTGTTGTTTATCTGAAAATAAAATTTATCTGGGCATCATGCATTTTTACTTGCTAAGTCTGGCAAAGAAAGGGGAAGAAGGACAGGTGGACTGGGAGTGTCCAGGGGCCTCTGTTGTTCAGTCATCAGACAGACCTCTATAGTTGAGCCCTTTTGTGCAGGTTTGTTACTTCTATTTTATGAACCACGTTTGGCAATGCTTTGCAATCCCATTTCCCAGGATAGGTTTTCCAAATCCTCTTTGTGAGGCAGGTGTAGAAGGTAGTGCCAACAGGAGGCATACAGAGAGGGGTCAGTGAGTAGAGAGAGGAGAAAATATTCTGAAGACAAAGAAGTTCTTGCCAGCAGTTGTAAGTGGGAAGACAGAGAGAGAGGGAGAGGAAGGAAACAAGCATCTGCTGAGCACCTACTGTGTGCCAGGCACTTGATAGCCCAGACACAAAGTGTGCATTTACTCTGCACAATTCTCTTCTTTTACACTTAAGGAGCTAAAGCTCAGGAAGGAAAAGGAACTTGTTTTCAGTCCCAGAGCTCAATTTGGATGCTGGAGCTGGGATTCAACCCAAGATTTTCTGGCTCCAAGGTTCCTGTTCTTTCCTCAAAATTGTGTTTAAGTGTCTGTGAGGCAAAGAAACTGGCTGAGGTAAAAGTAGCTGAAGTTCTAGCATAGGATGTCAAGGTAAAGCAGGAATCCAGGTTCCCAGCACAGTGGACCAGACACATGCGTGAGCAAGCCCAGTGCATGGCTAGGCCTGCCCACCTGGAGGTGCTGTACACAGGGATGAGATCACCTCAGGAGGGTCTTTAGAAACCTGTTCATTGTAGAGGTGATCGGGAAGAGATGGCCTGGGGTGGGGAAGGGGGTGACACCAGGAACATGGGAAGGAACACATTTAACATCTAGAAATGGAAGGTGTGTCTTCTGACAGAGTCCGCTCCTCCTTGTTCTGTTGCTAAGAGGTAAAGGTGAGCTACACGGGGAGGGGAAGGGGTGGCAAGGGAAGACTCTCCCAGTCGTGGGACAGAGATCATGTAGAGCGAATATACTTCTTACTTCATGCTGGAGTCGTAAACTCCTATCTACATCGTCTGCCTATCTTTGGACTCCCATAACATCATTGGATTGATAAAGTGCTGTTTGAGATATATGTGGCCTTGGGAGTGGTAATTAGTAATGCTTAAGTACTGTACATTCTTGAGGACTTATTTGCAGTCAGTCATTTTATTTCAGGTCATTTAGATAAGTTGTCATCTGTGTAAAAGTTATTTTAGCCCTCAGAATTCAGAGTATTAGCTCTATTGTCCATGAGATGTGTGTACATCTCAAAAACAAACTTCATCTATCCTTGAAAAAACAAGCGCCTGCATATATAACATTTATCTAGCATTGTTGGTCATGAAGGTATTCTACTGGAATTAACCTTCCGGATACCTGGAGCTGACCTCTTTGAATGCGAGCTCTGTGTTTATCTTAAAACATTCTTTTTTTTTTTTAAAAAAAAAGATTTTATTTATTTATTTGACAGAGAGAGAGACAGCGAGAGAGGGAACACAAGCAGGGGGAGGGAGAAGCAGGCCTCCTGCTGATCAGGGCTCAATCCCAGGACCCTGGGATCATGACCTGAGCCGAAGGCAGACGCTTAACGACTGAGCCACCCTCTTAAAACATTCTTGATGGAAAACCATGCTTAAGGTATATCAGGAACTTCTTCTTTTTTTTTTTTTTTAAATGGAGAATACCATGTTTATTGAAATGTTTTCATAATGATTTGGATTCATATTTTATTCTATCTTAAGATCCATCATTATTTTATAATAAACTCTCATTTTTCTGCCTTGTCTCCCACTGTCAGCAGCCATTTGTTACTGCCTTAAGTATAATGACCACACCCCACCCCATCTCTGCCCCAGATCTCCTAGGGTGTGGGGAAGTTTATTCCTGGTTAATAACTTCTGTAACTTGCTCTGTCACTTTTGCCCCTTGTCTCAGTTTCCTCGGCTGTCGGTGAAGTATCTGACTAGATGACCTCTGAGGGTTTTCTCCTGGCTAGACACCAGAAGTGAGTGGACTCCAGAGTATACACATTAGCCCCTTCTCCCTGAGTTCGGGCCTTGGTTTTGGCTGATTTCCAGAGCAGATACCATTCTCCTTCTCTGTTGTATGGTAAAGCAAATTCTGGTAGAACAGAGTCAGTTTCTGAATGACTCTGTGATAATTAGAAGTTGGGCTTTTCATTAAGAATTCCAACTTATAAATGCTGCGGGACTGACATACCATGTCAGCAATGGTAGGGCAATGACAGACCTTTGTAATTACTTAAAATATTTCAAAATTACACTCAGTCTTATTATATCTAAATACTTCTGAATTCCAGCGGTTTACACACAAAAAATTTTATTTTTATTTATTTACTTATTTTTTTAGAAAGGTTTTATTTATTTGACAGAGAGAGACAGCGAGAGAGGGAACACAAGCGGGGGGAGTGGGAGAAGGAGAAGCAGGCTTCCCGTGGAGCAGGGAGCCAGATGCGGGGCTCAATCTCAGGACCCTGGGATCATGACCCGAGCTGAAGGCAGACGCTTAACCAACTGAGCCACCCAGGCGCCACAAAAAAGATCTTTTTCTTTAAACCAAGACATAGGAGCCATCTTTTTCTCCTTCACTGCCCTGGATTTCATTAATAAAATGGGATTAGTGTTCCCAAGGCATTTGTGTGAGAATTAAATAAGAGAATATAAACAAAGCATGGCGCATGGCAAGTTCGTGCGGCATGTAGTCATTAGTGGGAACCCTTTTATAACTATGGCTGTTATCGCTAGCCCCAAATAGAGTATAGTTAGAAAAGCCAGGAAAGGTCAGAGCTGTCGGAGGGAAGCGTGTGACTTAGCCTTTGAAAACAGAGCAGGGGGATGCCGAGTTTCAGAGGAGAAATAAAGTGACATTCCTGGAGTTTCTGACATGTAGCTTTTCTGAAGTTTGCATCTTGGAGGAGGCAGGTAGCTGTGTAGTCTCCCTTGGGAACCCCGCCGTGGGAGGACTAGCTACCTTCAGGGAGGGTGGGAGAGGCTCTGGTTCCTGCCTTAGCCACAGCCTGGCTTCTTCCGAAATGAGTGTGGACCCTGACACGGACCTGCGCCACCACGTCTGGAAGCAGGAGGCTGTTCTCTCTGCATGTTTTGTCACGGGAAGTGCTCGTTCGATTCTTGAATAAAGCTACACGGAGCCCTTGAACTACATCAGGAAGACGTTAGTGGGCCTTGCCTTGGTCATCACATTCTTTGTGGGAAATGCAGCTACGAAGTTTTCAAGGCCCCACCAAGTCCACTCTTTTAAAAAGATACCTTTTCTGGGGCGCCTGGGTGGCTCAGTCAGTTAAGTGTCTGCCTTCGGCTCAGGTCATGATCCCAGGGTCCTGGGATAGAGCCCTACATCGGGCTCTGCTCAGCAGGAAGCCTGCTTCTCCCTCTCCCTCTGCTGCGCCCCCTGCTTGTTCTCTCTCTCTCTGTCAAATAAATAAATAAAATCTTTAAAAAATAAAAAAATAAAAAAATAAAAGATGTCTTTTCTGAGACCTCAGGCCACACCCATTTCTGTGCTGTCTGAAAGTCGGTGAACTTACTGTTATTTTTTTCAAATTATTCTGTGTCCTGGTTTTGGTCTTAGTTCTTAGGATTGGGGGTTCCTGGAAGTTTGTTTGACCTTCTGTTATTTTTATCCACAGTGTAAATCATGGCCAGCTAAATAACCCCTCATGTGGGAGACAAGGGCGTTCTGGGGATTCTTTCCAATATTTGATTCTGGGAGTGGTTTTTATTTTTTTGCAGAACCCAACTTGTCCTATCAGCTTTACTTTGACAGGCTACTTCAGATCTTTTTGGAACTAGGTAGGATTTACGTCCTAACAAGAGACATTCAAGTACTGTATTCTTCTAAGATTGGTAGATATTATCATATTTCATCAAATCCAAGATGTCATCCATTGTAAGATGCACCACTATTTTACGTATCACTAAGAAAGAACACTGCCAATTAAACCATGTCACCCGTCAGTTCTAAAACATCCTGATTTCAGATGTTAAGATGTGAAAAAAATACGTGTTTTAAGATTGATGAGATGTGGTGTGCAAAATTGGATTACCTGGAACGATCAA